ATTAAAAAGGACAAAATAGAGTTGAACATTATATGGATCTTCACGGGTCAATCTTCTTGACAAAAACAACTTTGATCAAGTGGCACTGTCAAAGTCGACAGTCTGGTGACAACGAGCGGTTACATTTTAGTTGGATATGCATTGCAGGCACATCACCACGCATGAAGCTCTCGTCATTAATTTGCCATATTAATATTTCGTGATTTTATTTCAAGTGCCTATGACTAGGTACTATGTCGCCTTCAAGCATAGTAATTAAAACAGTCATGACATGACATATAAAGCATCTATTGATCTTGAGGGGAACTACGCTTGTTATCTTGCATCCAGCCTGGGAGGGAAATATTTTTCTGAGCGGGAGAATACATTCGTCATACACGACCACTGAAAAAATAGGCTGCACGTGTATTTCGAAGAATATAGAATAAATCCTTTATACCCAACTGCAAATGGAAATAAAGCTCCACGTTGCTCTCGAGTCAATGAAATCACAGTAAAACATATCCGCAGCTAAACAAAGTTTTCTGTCAGTTTTAAGTGTATTCCAATTCTACAACAATGGCAGATTGAATCAATCGACAGTTTACCTCCTGTTTTAGTTTATGTTCTCCCAGCCTAATGGCTTGGTGTACCCCCGAAGGGCAAAGGAGTGTAAACTAACACACTTGGTCCATCAACCCGTTTCACCCTTGGGTCGACAGGGGTCCTCTCGTTACACTGTGCGGCTGTCTTTTAGTCAATGTAGTTAAGCGAAAACGTAACATTCAACAGTAAAACGGAAAAATTGTCGATTGCTCCGACGTTAATACAGTTTGGCTCTCAGTCAATTCATACTCCATTGAACTCACACAAAGTGTGAGTCAATTCTTAAATAAGTGATACACGTGGATGATATTATTAAGTGATACATACGGAAGATATTCATAAGTGATTCACAAGGTAGGTCTTTGTGAGTGATGGGTACGGTAGGTCTGTATGAGTGATGCGTACGGTAGGTCTGTATGAATGATGGGTACAGTAGGTCTGTATGAGTGATGGCTACGGTAGGTCTGTATGAGTGATTGCTACGGTAGGTCTGTATGACTGATGGGTACAGTAGGTCTGTATGAGTGATGGGTACAGTAGGTCTGTATGAGTGATGGGTACGGTAGGTCTGTATGAGTGATGGGTACGGTAGGTCTGTATGAGTGATGGGTACAGTAGGTCTGTATGAGTGATGGGTACAGTAGGTCTGTATGAGTGATGGGTACGGTAGGTCTGTATGAGTGATGGGTACGGTAGGTCTGTATGAGTGATGGGTACAGTAGGTCTTTATGAGTGATGGGTACTGTAGGTCTGTATGAGTGATGGGTACGGTAGGTCTGTATGAGTGATGGGTATAGGAGCGATGGGTACAGTAGGTCTGTATGAGTGATGTGTACGGTAGGTCTGTATGAGTGATGCGTACAGTAGGTCTGTATGACTGATGCGTACAGTAGGTCTGTATGAGTGATGGGTACGGTAGGTCTGCACGAGTGATAGCTACGGGAGGTCTCTATGAGTCATTGGTACGGTAGGTCTGTATGAGTGATGGGTACAGTAGGTCTGTATGAGTGATGTCTGTATGAGTGATGGGTACAGTAGGTCTGTATGAGTGATTGCTACGGTAGGTCTGTATGACTGATGGGTACAGTAGGTCTGTATGAGTGATGCGTACGGTAGGCCTGTATGAGTGATTGGTACGGTAGGTCTGTATGAGTGATGGGTACAGTAGGTCTGTATGAGTGATGTGTACGGTAGGTCTGTATGAGTGATGCGTACAGTAGGTCTTTATGAGTGATGGGTACGGTAGGTCTGTATGAGTGATGGGTACAGTAGGTCTGTATGAGTGATGGGTACGGTAGGTCTGTATGAGTAATGGGTACGGTAGGTCTGTAGGAGTGATTGGTACGGTAGGTCTGTATGAGTGATGGGTACGGTAGGTCTGTATGAGCGATGGGTACGATAGGTCTGTATGAGTGATGGGTACGGTAGGCCTGTATGAGTGATGGGTACGGTAGGTCTGTTTGAGTGATGGGTACAGTAGGTCTGTATGAGTGATGGCTACAGTAAGTCTGTATGAGTGATGGGTACTGTAGGTCTGTATGAGTGATGGGTACGGTAGGTCTGTATGAGTGATGGGTACGGTAGGTCTGTATGAGTGATGCGTACAGTAGGTCTGTATGAGTGATGCGTTCGGTAGGTCTTTATGAGTGATGGGTACGGTAGGTCTGTATGAGTGATGGGTACAGTAGGTCTGTATGACTGATGGGTACAGTAGGTCTGTATGAGTGATTGGTACGGTAGGTCTGTATGAGTGATTGGTACGGTAGCTCTTATGAGTGATGGGTACGGTAGGTCTGTATGAGTGATGCGTTCGGTAGGTTTGTATGAGTGATGGGTGCGGTAGGTCTGTATGAGTGATGGGTACGGTAGGTCTGTATGAGTGATGGGTGTGGTAGATTTGTAATAGCAATTCATACGGTAGGTCTGTATGAGTGATGGGTGCGGTAGGTCTGTATGAGTGATGGGTACGGTAGGTCTGTATGAGTGATGGTTGTGGTAGATTTGTAATAGCAGTTCATACGGTAGGTCTGTATGAGTGAAGCACACGATATATTTGTTTGAGTGGTGTACACCGTAAGGATAGATGGGATTAACATGTGACACGCATACTACATTCAAAGAGCAACTGCCAACCAATTTAACCGCATTTCCTATTTCTAATGTTCAAGAAACTGTGATTTATTGGTCATAGATCATGTATGAATATTTTCATGTGAAGGTAAATGGAAGTGGAGACAAATATTGTCCGAGGCCAAGGTAAATAGAATCTTCAAAGGAAATACCTCCGGTGTCCCCCAGGCCTCGAGGCTGTTGACGTGTTGTTATTTTATGACTATATACGAACTAACACCGACTTCGCGCTAAAATCGGGGTCGAGGTTTTGTAGTATATTTGGTTTAGAAACGTTCGAGAACTCGTATATAATACCCTGCCATGTACCATGTAAACACTGCATCTGACTAATAAGACTAATCAATAATAAAACATGAACAACGAGTTAATGACACACTTCATAAACGTTGTTGGAAATGTTTCCCTTTCATGAAACAGAAGTTGAATATGAATTTATTCAAATATAATGATTTGTGAACCAAAGCCATAACTGACTGAATTAATTTCATCCGCGCATATACATGCACGACAATAACCGACAGAATTAGGAGAGCGTATACAGTGTTTCGCCTGCACATTTGAGACACCTAGGTACATCCCATTTGTCTGATATCATCCAGCCGTGCCAAGACAGGGGTTGACAGCATGACCAGCAACTTGCCATACAACGACACTTACTCAACAGAACCGCTAATGGGACTGTTATATTATACAGTGAAGGATGTCAGCCTAGGAACACCTAGAATACCTGGTGTATCACTCCTCCATGGATGACATGGGCGTCTGTCCCATGCTACTTATCAGACGTGTGAGCTTCAACATTGGGATCCTCTGCCGTTTCCGTGCAGTGCCCGAATACGATCATTCAGGTTTTGAACTAGGTCTCCAGTTCACTCTTGGCTACAAAGTAATCCCTAAGGTGTTCAGGTGAGTGTTTGTCAATATGTTTGGAAGCTGGATTTTCATTCAGGTGGGGATAAATACCAATGTGTATACTTATCCCTATTAAGCGAACAAAATACAATTTGAGGTTCACGCACCTAAGCCTGTGAGTACAATTGATATTTTGGTCACGCAGTTAACTAGTTGTGCATCACATGAGAGTATTAATAGAGAATAAATAGGTGAGAATTGTTAATCTAATAAGATTAGATTTCCTTTTTTCGGCTGTTTTTCTCGATGCTTCTTTTTCCCCTATTGAGTTCTAGACACTGAACACAAAGTTACGTGAATAATGTTTTTTGTTTAAATACGGTTTCATGGTTGATTAAAGTACATTATATTTAGTTTTCTCAGTTTTTGTTTTCGTAGGTTGTGCATGTTACAAGTACATGAGGTAAACAAGTACAGCGTCAGCTGATTCAGCTCCCACAGGTTATATTTCATGAGTGAACCACGTTCCTAAACCGGTTACTGGAGCATTGCTATCTTTGATAATAATGAACATTATCGGGATACAAAAGCACTGTCGCTTACACAGCACTTATTCACATGTCCCTAAATATGTAACAAACTATGTACAGTAACAGGTTACCGAGCCCAGGTTAACGACTATTGTGTACGATGATGCCCGTTCAACACATGTTCGCATAACGAACCTGACGTTTTTCAGAATTATGACATGATATGTTTTAGCGCTTTTTTTGTGCTGTCAACACATTGTTGACTACTGTATGCGGTTGGCTGCGGTTATCTTACCCCTTCATCTCTATGAGCGATGGGCACACTGTGATACAACTGAACCAGTGTCAGTTTAACGTTGAGTAGACCAAACTCAGTCAGTCACTCATCGACTGTTGTCACTTCTTTATAACTTACCTCATGGGGCCACGGGTGACCACTTACACCATGGTTCTGTATAGCCAAGCTATAGACGTGTGCCGTGAATCAGACACTGGCAAGTTTTTTTTAAAGCTCTTCAACCCTAAAAAGTGTGCGCTCGTGCGTGCGTGCGTGCATGTGTTTGTTGTTGAACGGTACATCATTCCTTATTCAAGCAACTTGACTGCAACCTGTACATAATGAAGTCTGGACTACACAATCCACTGATTGATATATCGTGATCCACCCAAGTGACGAGTCTGACCACCCGGTCCGTATAGGCTGCTTGTAATTACAACCTGAAATCCCGCAATGTGGGGAACAGCTGATTGTACACTGTGTCGGATAATACGACCAATACGGGCACATCAGCTGTTGTATACCGAAAAATTAATGGACCTGTTCATTTATATATAACTTTCCATGTGTATATTCCGAGTCAGGTTTACTCAGGATATTGTGTAACAATTCTCAATCAGAAATATGTTTGAAACATTTATTTTATTCACAATTCCCAACCTTGATCTTCGTGTTAACAACTGTTGGTATTAGGTAAACACGTACACGCGAGTACTAGCAGTATGTATATCGAAATTGATCCCCTGACCCTTGTGGTTCGGGATAACGGAGTTCGAACATATTTAATATCACAAATTTATCAACTCTCTTCCGTTTCTTTGTCAATTCTGTCAAGTTGGAAGATCAAAAGTCGGTTTGGTTTCATATCTCCAACGGTGACGCATAGTCGAAGGTCAGAGGTCAAGGCCACTCCCTGTGGATGCTGAACTCCATGAAGCGAGGTGACTATATGACAGCTAAACCGTCCAAGTTCGTCGAACACAGACACGCGGCTGTTGTACTGATCTGCGACAAGTATATTGTTATGGCTGTCCGTGCACACACCATGAGGAAACCGGAAACATCCATCACTGCGCCCGTACTTGCCAAAGCTACGGACAAAATTTCGGTTTCTATCGAACACTTTGATGGAATGGTTGCCGCTGTCGCTGACGATAATGTTCCCGTTGGCAGACACGGCGACGTACCTAGGGTTCTTGAATTGCAGATGCTCCCCTATGTAAGCAACGACCTTGCCACCATTTACGTCATGAATTGATACTCTGTTGGCAACATCATCTGTTACGATGACGGTGCTGTCCCCAACGTTTGTTATACCACAGGGAGATTTAAAGAAACCGTTTCCAAACCTTTTCAAAACGTTACCCCATGTTTTACACACAATAACAACACTCTGAGATTTTCGGGACGTAACAGCGATTTTCTCTGAGCCGATATCCGTCGCCCCCCATGGCTCAGATACATCGTCCGCTGCGTACACACAACCCACCACACCACTAGACGTAAACACCTTGAGCTTACTACAGATCATATCAGTGACGACCAGATCGCCATTACCCATAACTCCCACGTCTGTCGCGTGATGAAGCTGTCCGGATTGACTTCCGGTTTGACAGAATTTCACCCTCGAGCCAGGCTGCTCGTCCTCGTTGTATTCACTACGCAGCTTGTACGTATCTTCTGGAGCGATGGACGGAGTGTCGTCAACGTCGTGGGGTGTGCATGTCTTCCGTGCTGGTTCTGTTGCGTGTTCCTCCTCCTCATCATCGAACAACACGATGGTACCATGTCCGAACGAGACTTTTTTCCTTGTAGGCATATTGTCATGTCTCTCCGTCGATTCCTCGGGGATTGTGGGGCTCCCGTGAACATGTTCGTAGCTGATACAGTCAACCGTTGTCATCACCTGTTTGTTAGAAATAATTGTATGAAATCATTTTGTGAATATGAAAAAATGACCAAAACGTCGATAGTGACCCATTATTCCTCCGTATTATTATGTCCATTACATGTAAGACGAACATGACTATTTTGGAACACTGTCATAGCTCATGTGTGTGGACGCAATCTTGTTTTACCATCTTTAGTGGTAGACTAGCCTTGTTTTAAAGCATTCGCTCGTCTCGACGTCGGGGTTACATTCCCGAAATGTCTACATTTTAACACGTTGTCCTCCGGTGTGATATTGCTTGACCGTTGTTAAAAATGGCGTTTAACAATGCCCAGTCACTCGTTGGATAGATTATATTTAAGAGACATGCACACAATGCATCTCTTTAATTCGAGGCCTCGTGGAAATCGTAACGACAACGACCTTCGACACACGATGTCTCGCCCTAAACGATGCATGAATTTAACGTAGATCTACATAACATACATACATTCATAGTCACTTGTGGAAAAGGGACATTTTACACAAACCATAAACAACACTGAAACAAGTTTCAAGTATATCGTTTATCCTTCAATTCATCATGAAAAATATTAGCTTACCTTTTGAAACAGTCCTTATTTCATGGACAAATATGACGTGTCAGATCCTGGGCGGGCTATTCCGGGTCCTTGTATGAAATGGTCAGTGTTCCCGCTCCTGGTCAAGCTCCCCAGCGTCGCGACAACTGAGCGTTCAGAAGATACTAAACCTGTACCACTTTAACAACACGACGTGACATCATTTCATTCCGGTTTCCTAAACCGGTTTCTTAACGAACCTTTCTTCACTGTCCACCCCATTACATTTAAAAATGCTTTCCTGTCTGCTATCTCAAGTATTTTAACATGTCATCTCAGTATATGTTTTTTGTTAGATAATAACATGGTCAAATGAAAGTTTTGGCATTTCAAATTTAGTTTTATCTAATGGGTGAAACCGGTTTTGAAAGCTGATATTAAAGATTTGAAAGAGCCCAGCCATGAGTGACGAGCTAGATAGGACATGACCTTTGAACTCCACACACTTGGCGTCGTGGATGTAAACAAAGATACCAGCAACACTTGACATGCGCAGATCTCATGTTTCTGATAAACAATACCCGGTTATTTCACGGAAACCGAATATCAGTGGTCTACCCTATCATGGCTGCGGATAAAAGTGTGTTTTACAGACAGTGATTACAAAACAAATTAGAACATAGCCGATGTGGTAATTATAAAAGGCAGATATGCCAGAGCAAACATCCTTTGTTTTATTTAAAGATCACGTTGAGGGAAAGCTAATTATGATGTTACATAATACATTCGACTTTGATTAATCACTCTTATAAAACAGTCATATGTGACGTGGCTGCGTGTGTGTTTTGTGTGTTGTTCATGCTGTCAATCCCATGATTCAAAGGCCTCCGTGGTGTAGTGGTTAGAGCGTCCGCCCGGAGAGCGGAAGGTCGCGGGTTCGATCCCCGACCGCGTCATACCAAAAGACGTTAAAATATGGTACTTGTTGGTCCCTGCCTGGCGCTCGGCATTAATGGGTACAACAAGGACTGGTCGGCTCGGAGTCATTATAATGTGTATGAGTGGGGTATTCATGCTTCACTGCGGCATGTTGTGAAGCCCATTTCTGGTGTCCCCCGCCGTGATGTTGCTGGAATATTGCTAAAAGCGGCGTAAAACCAAACTCAGTCAGTCAGTCAGTCACTGCGGCATGATATCTCAGTGGGCTAGCACTATAAAACAAGCTTCAGTCTGGGCTAGTACAAGCAGCCGCACATACACATACACACGCATGCACGTCGTCATATGAGCGAAATATTCTCAAGCACGACGTTAAACCCAATTCCACCACAACCACCATGATTGAAACTCGGCCTTTTACTGGCCGCGCCACAGTGCAAGTGTGTTTAATGGTTCCTGTCTAAACTCAACTACAGTCATTATTAACGTGGGTGCAAGCCAGTGAAGGATTGTTATTGACGTACGAAATTGACGATATGAGTTTCTGAGAGGTCAGGTTAAACAGTCACGAGGTCAGGCCAACGTGACAGTGATAATGAAGGGTCGCCGCAAGTACCTGTGACCTGGGACACTCGTTTTATGACTTAAACAGCCATATTAATCACGAGATTAATGGTGTCACCCTTCGTGAAATGGCAGGAATATTGCTAAAAGCGGCGTAAAACCATACTCACTCACTCACTTTTACATATGGCGTCTCTCACACTAGTGCATGTGTCCTACACCACACTGTTATCTATGACACCTTAAGCGCTGGTACATGTGCCCTACTCCACACTGTTATCTATGACACCTTAAGCACTGGTACATTTGTCCTACACCACACTGTTACCTATGACGCCTCTCACACTGGTGCATGTGCCCTTCTGCATACTGTTATCTATAACGTCTCTCACACTGGTGCATGTGCCCTGCTGCATACTGTTACCTGTAACGTCTCTCACACTGGTGCACGTGCCCTACTGCATGCTGTTATGTGTGACGTGTCTCACACTGGTGCATGTGCCCTGCTCAATACTGTTACCTATAACGCCTCTCACACTGGTGCATGTTCCCTAGTGCATACTGTTACCTGTAACGTCTCTCAAACTGGTGCATGTGCACTGCTGCATACTGATACCTGTAACGTCTCTCACACTGATGCATGTGCTCTGCTGCATACTGTTACCTGTAACGCCTCTCACACTGGTGCATGTGCCCTGCTCCATACTGTTACCTGTAACGTCTCTCACACTGGTGCATGTGCCCTACATCATACTGTTACCTGTAACATCTCTCACACTGGTGCATGTGCCCTACTGCATACTGTTACCTGTAACGTCTCTCACACTGATGCATGTGCCCTGCTGCATACTGTTACCTGTAACGTCTCTCACACTGGTGCATCTGCCCTGCTGCATACTTTTACCTGTAACGCCTCTCACACTGGTGCATGTGCCCAACTGCATACTGTTACCTATAACGTCTCTCATACTCGTGCATGTGCCCTGCCCGTTACCTATAACGCCTCTCACCCCCTGCACCTGTAGCACCTCACACTGGTGCATGTGCCCCTGCTGCATCCACTGGTGCATGTGCCCTACTGCACCGCTGTTACCTGTAACGTCTCTCTCACACTGGTGCATGTGCCCTTTCCTGCATACTGTTACCTGTAACGTCTCTCACACTGGTGCATGTGCCCTGCTGCATACTGTTACCTGTAACGTCTCTCACACTGGTGCATGTGCCCTACTCCATACTGTCACCTATAACGTCTCTCACACTGGTGCATGTGCCCTAGTGCATACTGTTACCTGTAACGTCTCTCACACTGGTGCATGTTCCTACATCATCATGTTACCTGTAACGTTCTCACACTGGTGCATGTGTACACACCTGTAACATCTCACACTGGTGCATGTGCCCTGCTGCATACTGTTACCTGTAACGTCTCTCACACTGGTGCATGTGCCCTATTGTGCATACTGTTACCTGTAACGTCTCTCACACTGGTGCATGTGCCCTGCTGCTGCATACTGTTACCTGGTGCATGCCCTAACGTCTCTCACACTGGTGCATGTGCCCTGCTGCATACTGTTACCTATAACGTCTCTCACACTGGTGCATGTGCCCTACTGCATACTGTTACCTATATCGTCTCTCACACTGGTACATGTGCCCTACTGCATACTGTTACCTATAACGTATCTCACACTGGTGCATGTGCCCTAGTGCATACTGTAACCTATAACATCTATCACACTGGTGCATGTGTCCTACTGCATACTGTTACATATAACGCCTCTCACACTGGTGCATGTGCCCTACTGCATACTGTATCCTATAACGCCTCTCACACTCGTACATGTGCCCTGCTGCATACTGTTACCTGTAACGTCTCTCACACTGATGCATGTGCCCTGCTGCATACTGTTACCTGTAACGTCTCTCACACTGGTGCATGTGCACTGCTGCATACTGATACCTGTAACGTCTCTCACACTGATGCATGTGCTCTGCTGCATACTGTTACCTGTAACGCCTCTCACACTGGTGCATGTGCCCTGCTCCATACTGTTACCTGTAACGTCTCTCACACTGGTGCATGTGCCCTACATCATACTGTTACCTGTAACATCTCTCACACTGGTGCATGTGCCCTACATCATACTGTTACCTGTAACACCTCTCACACTGGTGCATGTGCCCTGCTGCATACTGTTACCTGTAACGTCTCTCACACTGGTGCATGTGCCCTGCTCCATACTGTCACCTATAACGTCTCTCACACTGGTGCATGTGCCCTAGTGCATACTGTTACCTGTAACGTCTCTCACACTGGTGCATGTGCCCTACATCATAATGTTACCTGTAACATCTCTCACACTGGTGCATGTGCCCTGCTGCATATTGTTACATATAACGTCTCTCACACTGGTGCATGTGCCCTGCTCCATACTGTTACCTGTAACGTCTCTCACACTGGTGCATGTGCCCTACATCATAATGTTACCTGTAACATCTCTCACTCTGGTGCATGTGCCCTACATCATACTGTTACCTGTAACATCTCTCACACTGGTGCATGTGCCCTACTGCATATTGTTACCTGTAAGGTCTCTCACACTGGTGCATGTGCCCTACAGCATACTGTTACCTATAACGTCTCTCACACTGGTGCATGTGCCCTACTGCATACTGTTACCTATAACGTCTCTCACACTGGTGCATGTTCCCTAGTGCATACTGTTAGCTGTAACGTCTCTCACACTGGTGCATGTGCCCTGCTGCATATTGTTACATATAACGTCTCTCACACTGGTGCATGTGCCCTGCTGCATACTGTTACCTATATCGTCTCTCACACTGGTACATGTGCCCTACTGCATACTGTGACCTATAACGTATCTCACACTGGTGCATGTGCCCTAGTGCATACTGTAACCTATAACATCTATCACACTGGTGCATGTGTCCTACTGCATACTGTTACATATAACGCCTCTCACACTGGTGCATGTGCCCTACTGCATACTGTATCCTATAACGTCTCTCACACTGGTGCATGTCCCCTACTGCATACTGTTACCTGTGTTACCTGGTGACATCTGTTACCTATAACGTCTCTCACACTGGTACATTTGTCCTACTTCATACTGTTATCTATGACGCCTCTCACACTGGTGCATGTTCCCTAGTGCATACTTTTACCTATAACGCCTCTCACACTCGTGCATGTGCCCTGCTTCATACTGATACCTGTAACGTCTCTCACACTGGTACATTTGTCCTACTCCATATTGTTATCTATGACGCCTCTCACTCTGTTGCATGTGCCCTACAGCATACTGTTATCCATGACGTCTCTCACACTGGTACATTTGTCCTACTTCATACTATTATCTATGACGCCTCTCACACTGGTGCATCTGCCCTAGTGCATACTTTTACCTATAACGCCTCTCACACTCGTACATGTGCCCTGCTTCATACTGATACCTGTAACGTCTCTCACACTGGTACATTTGTCCTACTCCATATTGTTATCTATGACGCCTCTCACTCTGTTGCATGAACCCTACAGCATACTGTTATCCATGACGTTTCTCAGACTGGTGCATGTGCCCTACTCCACAATGTTACTTATAACGTCACTAACGTTGGTTCATTTGCCGAACAGCTTACAGTTACCTATAACGCCTGTCATACTCGTGCATGTGCCCTACTCAATACTGTTATCT